TTTTTTTGCACATGTGTACCATCAAATCAGATCTGACAGGTACAGGAGGAGATTGCCTCTCCTTCTCCAGCAGAGCATCTGGTGGATTCGAACCTCGTACCTCTGAGACTGCAATGCACCTTCTTGCCACTAGGCCACCAGAGCTCCCTTATATAATTAATTTTAATGAATTTACAGAGACTTAGGGTTTTCATTCATTCATTGTTGCACTTTTCTCCCTGCCCAACCTCTCCCCCCATTAACTCTTCTTCTTGAAAAGAAAAGGAAAAACTCTTTCAGTGTTATGCAATCCCTCCCCCCAAGTCCACTCCACTATGCAGCCTTCACTCTGGACTCCTGTCGTGACAATGATACCTAATCATAGATCCCTTTTAAACAGTTTGCTCCCTCATCTGTTTCAATGCAGTATACATTATTTATCCCCTCTTTCTCAGTCTCCCTCCAACCCCGATGTCAGTCTTGTTTTACAACAGTGGCAGTATGCAATATTTGTCCTTTTGTGACAGGGATATTTCACTCAGCATAATGTCCTCCAGGGTCACCCATTTTGAATATTTCATGAGTTCCTTGTTTTTCACTGCAGTGTAGTATTCCATTGTGTGAATATATCACAGCATCTCTATCCATTCATTTGTTGATGGGCACTTAGGTTGTTTCCGGTTCTTTGCTATTATGAACAAAGCTGCGATAAACATGAGTGTGTGTATATCTGCTTGGATGGCAGTTATGATCTCTTTGGAGTATATTCCCAGTATTGGAATTGCTTGGTCAAATGGTATTTCTATTTGCAACTTTTTTATTATTATTTTTTTATTATTATTTGGTGTATGTGTCTGTGTACCGTCAGATCAGATCTAACTGGTACAGGAGGAGATTGTCCCTCCTTTCCCGGCAGAGCATCTGGTGGATTTGAACCATGCATCTCTGGGATTGCAGTGCAGCTTCTTGCCACTAGGCCACCAGAGCTCCCCTTATTTGCAACTTTTTGAGAAAGCGCCATACCGCCTTCCACAGTGGTTGCACCATTTTACACTCCCACCAACAGTGAATAAGAGTTTCAGTTTCTCCACAACCTCGCCAGCATTTTATATTTTCTATTCTGTTAAATTTTGCTATTCTTACTGGAGTGAGATGATATCTCATAGTTGTTTTGATTTGCATCTCTCTAAAAGCTAGGGATTTTGAACATTTGTTCATGTGTTTGTTGGCCATCTGAATGTCTTTTTTGGTGAAGTGTCTTTTCATATCCTGTGCCAATTTTTCAGTTGGGTTGATTACCTCTATCTTGTTGTGGTCACCTATAATCTTTTAACACATTGTGAATTAGGTCAAAGTATCCCAAGCAAATGGATTTCCACTCTCCAGTTCACATGTGCTCTGTTTCGTGACATTGATCACAATTCTCACACGCTAACAGATCTCATCCCACTTACTTCCACTCTCTGGGGTACCATTTCCATCCGTCCCTCGTTCCTGACTTCTGAGTTTTATCCCTGGGCAAATGCTACCCTTTTGATTTCCTGTGGTTAACGTGTTATTGTTCATGTTATTGTCTGTCTCTTGTTTGGGTGAAAGTTGAACCAGTGGAGGTAAGTTCAGCTCAAGGTTTAAGAGTATGTGAGGGTGGGGTCCCCACTTTAGTGCTTTAAAGAAATCCTTGGCAGCAGATTTTCCCAATGCAATATATTTTCCTCTCAATTTCTTTTTTATATTTGATTATTTTGTGTGTATGTGTGTACTGTCAAATCGGATCTGACAGGTACAGGAGGAGATTGCCCCCTCCTTCTCCAGCAGAACATCTGGTGGATTTGAACCGTCTACCTCTGAGATTGCAGTGCAGCTTCTTGCCACTAGGCAACCAGAGCTCCCTTCAATTTATTTTATTTTATTTTTATGTTTTGTTTTGTTGTTTGGTTTTGTTTTGTTTGTTTGGTTTGGTTTTTGTTTGTTTTGTTTTGTTTGTTTTATTTGTTTTTGTTTGTTTTGTTT